AAACAAGATAGTATTTTGAAGAGGTTTTAGTAGACTTCTCCCTGATTGTCTTCTGTAGCTATATGAAACAGTTGTGAGAAGTCATCTAGTTCTTGAATGAGGTGTCAAGAGCCTGTGGATGACTTACAGTGTTACTGCTTTTTGCCATCTAATTTTAAGAATGCAGGCATTTCCCTTGAATAATAGCTAAGATGAACAAACTGATGTTAAACCCAGACAAATAAAGCTACTATTGGTTGGGAAGCAAAGTTCTGGAATGACTGTTTCAGAATTGCATTGAGACCGGAGTTGTGGGAGCAATCTTTGGCTTGTACTTGTGCATGGTTTTCCATGCACAAGTACAGTGGCAAGTAGTTCATTTGTACAGTTATGTCTGGAGCACCAGATGTAGCTGCCCCTAAGCCAGTTATCCATGCTAAGTTGCATCCTGACTTTCCAGAAAAGGCATAGATTTCCTGAGACCACAATGCTTGAGGTATCCTACAAAGCTCTAGGACAGGTGCTTTCTATAAGGCTGTAGTTGAAGAATGTCCAGAAACTTAGCAAAATGATAGCAGCCAAGCTGCTAACTGATGTAGAATACTGAGAGTACATTACACTTACACTGAAATGCTCCCAGTCATTTAATAGTGAATTAAGAGCTGTTTTCAAAGAAGACATTCTGTAAATATGGCAGCAGAGAAACATTGAAGTAGGGTGTTGGTGGCCTATTCTTCTCTATCTCACTATCCGCTGGCCTGGTACACAGGGGATTTCCCCTTTCAGTCCATCTGTTTCCCCTTCAATCATTTGAGTTCAATGTAAAAACATACATGCAATGAGAAAATGCTTCCGCTCTATGCCTAAGCTTGTACTGTGAGATGTAATATACAAATAAAAAGATTTATTGCTATCATTCTGTCCTTTTCATCACTTCCTTCTGTGACCCACAAAAATTGCAAAATCTAAGGAGTTGGTTTCCATTTTATATTCTTCATAATATGCCAGCAAGTTTACTGTTGCTGCCATTTGCAATGGTGACAGAATAAATAAAAAATATGTTGAGTTAAATAAGCATATATGAACAAAACCTCTTTACTGATCAGCCATTGAATTGTTGATCAATTCATCTTACCACTGGAGAATTTAAGGAAATTATTCTTTTGATTTTTCCCTGCACAAAATAAGGTAGAACAACGTAGTATATTAAATAAATCTTTACTATTAATTGACTTTCAGCTCTTTCTGATTTGGCAACCCCTTTCTTATAAACCCAAGGCCAGAAATTTAGGATAAATCACATTATTTTAAATGCATTCTTAAATGTTCCTGTATATTCACCACAACTTTTAATTGTGAATATAAGCCCTAGGAAAAGGCATTTCCAGAAATTACAAAGCTTGAAGTATCCTACAAAGCTCTTGGACATGTCAATTTCTGCAGCGTGTGGAATTTAGCCTAAACTCTTTTGATGTATATTTGCATTTATGAAATATTTGAATACTTTTTGCTAAATGCTGTTGCAGAAAGAAATATTCTGGAAATGGTGGACTTAAAGAGTCCTTGGAGCTCTCTGAGCTTGTTTTTTTTCCCTTCCTTGCAGACACTCATTACCTGAGTAGGTAATATCATCAATGCTGGTGAGTTTGCGGTTTGATCCCTGTTTATGTACAATAGCTTGCCCTGATGTAAACATCTGCAAGCAAACAACCAAGCTCAGAGAAGACTCCACAATTCAACCTTGAGCTACATATATTCTATTTTTTTTAATGTCTTGTGACAATCACATTGGGTTTAGCATACTCCACAGTTCTTGATCCACAGCTACAGTCTGCACATCCTTCCATTTAAGATTAATGTTGTTCAGATCTTCCTGGAATGTTTGGCTCTAGGTTTTCTTTGGCCTTTGTCTTCTATTAGGCAATCATTATTAATAAGAAATTAAATTAAATTGGGGCACAAACGTTTTCTGCAGTTTTATTTTTTTATATGTCACTTAGATTGCAGATTCACTGCAGATTTTTTGTGATCCAACATCCAACAGAAAGCAGCAAATTCTATTCAGCTGATAAACTGCTGATAAACCCAATATCAGAATAACAGAATTTATTTTATAAGTTGAAGAAAAAACATTGAGAAGGAGATATCTTCTACCACATTATCCAGCTTCAGGAATGTACACCTTCTCTTCTTCTGCCTCCATTCTCTCACAAGGTATTAGAAGATAGCTTGGGACATCATCAGCAACTGAATCCATTGTTGCTTCATTCTTTTCACATATCTGCGATTTGGAGGAGGCAGAAGGGTAAAGTGATTATACCAATAACGGGGCATGTTATACACATACAAAGACAAGGAAATGTTGTAAAAATCTCCGTGGATTTACTTTCCTCCCAACCTTGGGACAAGAACAAAGACTGTTAATTTGAGAACCACTGTCTCCATGGCTTTCCTCTTGCTGTGACTCAGGAACAAGAGCAGCAGGATTGCTGTCCTCGCAATAGTGACATTTCATGGTAATGATGCTATCAGAGGAGGAGTGAAAAGCAAGGAAAGACACTGTTCTCTGCTGCCTGTCCCTCTTCATCCATGGGCTGAGCATGGATCATTTGCTTTCTCTAGCTTTTCCATTACCCCTTCACTGGCTAGAAGGCATGACTGTGGTCCCAACAGTAGCAGCAGCAGGTCACCACCACCTGGGAACTAAATGCAGATCCCTTCAGGGCTGACTGTAGTTGTTGTGGTTGTGAGGCATAATAGTGTTCTCCAGTGAGTGCAAAGGTACGAGAAGGTGCAGAAGAGAGACGGAAGCAGAAGAAACTGAGAAGAACTCCTTCCCTGATCTTCATTCCCCTGACAGCATTGCAGCTTGGCCTGGGTGCTTGGCTATGGGATACAGTCAGATATGCAAGGGGGAGAAGTAAGATGTGGGACAAGAAAGAGGCTGTGATTGGTGTGAAGGAAGGTGGTGGACTACGCAGAAGTTATTGGTTTGTGGGAGGTATTCCACAAGGATGGTTTCTGAGGAAGCGAAAAAGAAAAAAATAGTTGTCAAAGGGTATTGGCTCTTTGGCAGCCCAGCCAAAAGTATCATCATGGCAGGACGAGAGGACAACATTTCTATAGTGAACCACCTGCAGGTCACTGGCCTCCCTGAGATGACTCCTCTGTGCAGCCCAGAGGTTCATGTAGCATACTGAGTTTTGTTTTCTGATGGAAAATATCCCTTTCCATATTTTTTTAAAAAGTCAGGGGCCATCCTAGAGCAAGGAAGCTATGAAATGAGCCTAGGTTATGAATAGGAAAAAACCAGATGATGGTAACAGAAGTTAGCAAAGGTGAAGACCACAGAAATTTTGAAAATGCCATATAAAGTGAGTTTTGTGAATTATGTATGATAAAAATGTGCCTAGTATTCATTCATGTCCTTTTATTTTTTCACATTAATTGGAAAAAAATCTAATGATTGAGTCATTGGGTTAGAGAATTGCCCAGCTTCCTGAATCAATTAAAAAAATCCTAATAAATCTTCATCTACTACAATGTTGTTTAACTGTCTGGTTCAGGAAAATGTGTAACACAGGATATGTGGCAGGGTATCTTTGAGCTACTTTTTATGTCATACTCAGTAAGACATTGTTAGGTAAACTATGACTTTTTGGATAAAATGCATCCCTCCAGTGCTCATATTCTTATGTAATAACGTGAAGACTTTCTTATATGCTGAACTTCAGTCACATTGACTATTGGCTTCACATTGACTATTGGCTTCCTACTATGGAATGATAGTCCAATACTTAACAGCGGCACAAGGGAAAAGCTTCTTATGCTGTGGCATTAACAGAAGACAGGATTCACATATTGCATTGATCCATAATTTGATTAGTTTTTTATCTACTTTGCTGTGTGAAGCCAGCCAATCTGGTTATATGGCTTACAATGATTTAATCCAGATACATTTAAAATTGATTATAACTTAGTTATAGTCTTTTGCAACAAAAATAATCTTCACTCATAACTTCACTTCTCTGCTCACATACGCACAAATACGCATTGATTCTTTATTGCAATCCCTTGTAAATAGTAGTAAATATCACTTTGACTAACCTCTGTACTCCAGATATGTCTGGATCAGTTCCTATCTTTATTCACCCTCTGACACACACCTATAAATTTATTATGTCATAGACTTTATGGAGTTGAATGTCATGTGAAATAAAGCTTTCCTTGATTTGCTGGATTAAAGTAAAATGTTATTCTAGTGTTTGACCTATGTAAGACCCTCTTTCTTTTCCTTGATAAAGGAGATTGTAATGTAAATATTAGGAGAGAAAGCTGAAAATAATTTTAGTTGCTCTGAAACATGATAATAATTTACCTATAAACCTTATGAGATTTTTCTAAAAGATGTCATTGTATCAAAGTAGTCTGTAGAATTCTTCTTATATTAATTTTATAAACCTATTGACAGTTGTTACTTGCAAATGTATAGTCATGAGAAGAGGTCATGAAGGGCAAAGAAGTGTGTGAGTTTGATTTGAGCAACAGTTGAGGTCTTATTCGGAACTTAAGTCACAGTCTGTTCTTTTCACTTGTTTATTATTGGGAATGAAGGACAGCTGCAGCCCCTGTACACAAGAGAGGCTAATACAACCACTGAAATAATTATATAATGGTAGCCCTCCCAGCAGAGAACTGCATATTTATAAATATTCTGCCTAGGACTGTGTGGTATACTTGCCAAATAAACCAGGAGAAACAAAGAGACAGTCTACAGTATAATTTCAGGGAGACTAATTTCTCTCAAGTAATTTTTTAAAATGGTTTGTATACTTGTGAATTTAGTATTGGTATAAATGCTGTTTCAAGAAACTGAATGCAAGACAAAATTGTAAGTTGAGGAATATGTTACACTGCAAAACTGTTAAGGAAGTTTAATTTGTAGTACTTTATAAGAAATGATAATTTCAATTCATTTCTGATTATGATAATTATGTGATAAGAGATCCTTATATTTTCAGTTCATTTTCCTGGCCTTGGGATGTGGTTGAAACCTGGAATCGTTATTTCTAAATTCTGATGCTGCTTATAACTCCTTATTTTCAAAGTTATATCTGGTGAGTGGACATACCTTTCATGGCATATGCCAGTTGGGATAGTATTTTCTCTTGCAGCCTTGTATGTGTAGCAAAATTCAACTGTGCACTTTTGTAGTATTTGTAAATTTAAAAAAGAATTGTAAGAAAAGAGTTGGATTGATATTTGAAGCTATCTTAAAGTCAACACTGAACCTGCAGAAAGAGGTGCACCAATTGCCTACATAGACTGTAAAAACCACTATGTTAGAGGCAGAACTCTAGAGAGAATATCAACTAGCAACCAGAAGACATGATGAAACTAATCTCACAGCACATGGACAGAATCCACCATAGTTTCAACTAGAAAACTGTAAGCATCCTAGTTCAAGCTAAATCCAAAAATACTAGAGAATTCCTGGAAGCTTGGCATTCAGATAAATCAGCCATCAACAGGCCTATAGAGATAAGCAACATTTACACATCATTCAAAAGAGACAATAAAAAAGCTAAAAAGGAAACAAAAAGACCAGAACACCTCCTCATAAACTGTGGACACCCAGGTAAACAGGGATTAACACTAGACAAACAAGTAGTAAATAATGCTCTAATCAAGGAACTACCAGCTCAGACAATCAAGCAGTAAATTACAAGCAACTACCTAGGAAAAAACAACACCCCCACCACTACTGACAGGACAAGCCACTGAATATAAACAAAGAGCAACTGTTCATATACTGGTATCTACTGCCTTCTAGTACTAAAGATGTTACCTAGTTGGGTAATGAAACATTTGTGGGAAAATAACCAAACTCAGAGAGCACAGTAAAATAAACTGTTTCCCCACTCAAGTTTCTACCTTCCCCAATAAGTGATAACAAGTGACTTTAAAGCTGGCTTAATCATTTAACTCTCTAGCCCAGCGCTATTCCTGAGGCCACAGGTTAGGCTAGGTTTCTGATATATAGTAATGATATGTTACAGTTGGGTGACTGGAATAGAATGGAACCACTGTCTTTACTATATGCAAATCAGAAGTTCTGTGCACATGAACACATGGCAACATCTATTTTTAGTTGCTGGGAAAAAAGATTAAATCTGGCAGGCTTCTGTTGTCTGTACAAAATTAATGTTTGTATGCTGTATTGATTTTCTTTCCTGGTTTAATTGTAATTTCTACTTGCTGAAAGCAGTCTTTAATTGATGAATTTGCCCCAGAAAATGCATGCATGAATGAATGAATGAATGAATGAATGAATGAATGAATGAGGTGGTTGTAAAATTAAGTCTTCAGTGTGGAAAGGGGAGTCACTTACTGTAATTAATGGGTACATTGATTAGAAAGTAAAGCGATATTAGGTTATATGCAGTGCTCAATTTGATTAACACTACTGTGTTACTGGAGTCCACAAGTGACTGTTGATAAAGCAGAGTAACTTGCGTAAGTCAGTTTTGGTCACTTCACAGAAAATATTTTGTCATAATTTGAGAAAGACAGGAAAATTGTTGTGGACATTCCTGTAAAAATCCAAATGCAGGATTGTTCAAGAGCTGGCACAAAATGTCACTTTAGTTGAACTTCTGAATAAACATATGCTTAAAATTAGTTTGTTAGAGTTAATTTATTTATCTAGTTTTAATATTAAATAGAAAGGCTTTTGCTACTTGTGCCAGTCTTTGCCAAGGAGGAAGCTAATAATATAATTTTCATACATTTTTGTATGATTTGTGAAATCTCAGATAATCTTTTTGTTAATGATGCTGCCATTCAATTTGCTGGGTGTGCAGTTAACACAAATATTTCTGCAGACAAGTTAATTATTTGTATCAGTAGATTAGTTTTAACTTCTGGTGCTAGAAAGCTCACTATATTTTGCATTTTGAAAAATTTATTTTTTTATTTATTGTTCTTTGAATCAGATTTTTGTCTAAACTAGAATTACCAAAATAGCTAACAATGAAATATGAATAAAACTATGAAGTTAAATGATTAAGAAACATCAATTAAATACATGGTGGTTTTTTAAAAAAAAAAAAACCCAGCAAGAGTAGCATATTTAAGTTTATTTCAACAAAAAGGTAACTTATATGTCAAAAGCTTTTCTGTGTAAAAACATTTTTGCCTATAGGCAAAAGAATCAAACAGGGATATAGGTAGCTTGGGTTTTATGAGGGAGGATGGTTTGGCAGAAATGCATGTCATGGCATTAAAGAAATCAATAATAAAACTGATAATTATAGGAAAGTTTTATAATTTAATTTAGGGCTGCAGTATAATAGAAGAAAGGTACCGCTATTCTTCCTGCATAGAGACAATAAAATGGAAAAGAGAAATGAATTGTGGTAAAATCTTACTTCATGATAATTTTAGAAAAAGCACTTCATTTGACAAACACTCCATACTATATGAATCCAATAGTACAAACCATGTCCAGACCAGCCATGTAGGCCTGCATTGGTTTTGTTTTATGTAGATGATAACAGTTATGTTCTGTATGTCCTTAGTAGATCTGAAAAATCTTAAGGCCCTTACCATTTTCTGTTCCTAATCTATGGATGACAAATATGTAAATGCCATTTTATAGTCCTTCTTGAAACTGTTTAATCAGAATTTCTAATGACCTTGTTTGGCATTTTCAATCATGTCTCTAATTTTCTACTTATGCCAGCATCTAATGCCTCAAATATAGATGAGTTTTTAATCCTCGCCAAATATGTAACATGTTACCAGGAGCTGCTGCAATAGCTTCCTTATAATGCCCTATGGGAAAAATTGAATCTGTTGGCCTTATTCTTCTGCATTGTCCTTTCTATTCATCTTAGCCTAAGGGTTTATTTACACTGTTTTTTTTTCAATTATCATGGAAATCTAAATGATAAATACCTTGTTCTTCTCTTTGGGAATATGTGAGTACTGTAATCACAGCTAGCAAACATACACAATTCAGTACAGTTGGTACAGCAATTAGTTGTAAGATTGTTTAGTTTTGTACTATACATTGAGGACTTTAAATTTTCTGTTCATTTTACATAATAATAGGCTAATATATCATTGGTGATTAACTATGATGCTACCTTTTATACCTTTTTTTGATTGTACAGGTAGTTTTCATTTAGTAGCCACAATTCAGACTGGCAACTTGGTTGTTAAACAAAGTGGTTGCTAAGTGTTTATGATATGATCTTACTTCAGCTTCCCTTTGCTTTACAGACATGTGAAAGTAATAAATGTGAGGATTGCTTGTAAAGTTACTATTTCATCACCATAAATGTAAAGGGTTGCTAAATGATATAGTCAGCAGTCAAGAACCATCTATATTGTCCTGTTTGTTTTGGTCAACTCCATCATTTATTATTATGATAGTTGATCGCATAATCAGACAGTGTTTAGATAGAATGTAACATGTTTATCCAGCTATCAAGTCCTACCCAAGGCCCTGGGAGAAGCAGATGTTGTTTGATGCTGTTAAAGATGTTATTGCAGAATATAAGCTGTTCTAAGTAAAGCTGCCTTTTGCAATTGACTGATGGTGATTTTGTTAATGCTGATGGTGTTCAGATGGTGTTCCAGATGTTCTTGGATTGCATAAAAAGCATCTATCACTATTGGTATTATCTTTGCTTTCCTTTGCCACAGTTGTTCTTCCATTTGTAAAACTGTGTATTTTATGATTTTTTTTAGTTGTTTGTCTTCTATTTTGCTGGCTTATTATTATTATATACATAACAATGTGAATTCACAGCTGGCTGTTCTTTAGCTGTTATTCTATTTATTTGTATTCTGACTTTATTATTTTTACAAATAATTCAAGGTTTTTTTAATAATTCAAGTTATTTTTACAAATAAATCAAGTTATTGATCTTCATATATATCAAGTTCTTCTTCAGAAGCCTAGGATGTCATAATGTATTGGCACAGTATATATCAGATCCAAATAGTGTGGCTTTTTGTCAATGCACAGATTTTCTAAGTGCCATTCAAGATTGTATAGCTGCTTTTAACTCCGATGCTATATATAATAATATACAGTACTATAACATGTAGATTTTTAAAAACTGCTTGAGCCTTGAGATTGGAATGGCATATAAATATAAATAAGTTAATTCTGACAAGATTTTGAGAGATCAAAAACATCAACTGGGGTGAAAGTTGATTTGCTTGTTTTTAATTTTAAGAATATTTTGTAAAATTCTTTTTTTTTGCCATGACAGGCTTGCCAACATTCCTCAGCATGTACAGCTGGAATCATCAGCATGTTGGTGCTATTAGTAAACCAAAGTCTGGAAAGGCTGGGATGATGCTGTGAAATGAATACAGCTGTGTCCCATGTGGATGAAATCAGGATTTTATGGATTTTGTTTTGTTTTGATTTTGGAACAGGAATTTTAAACTCTGTTACATCTATTTTAGGGTTACTCTTCAATTTTCATGCATTTTCCACCTTAAAAGGTAGGAGAATAAAATCAGGCAGTGTAGTCAGAGATGATTCAGTGAACTGTAAAAAAAGGTAGAGGGACAAAATTTGGGCTTATAATCAGCAATATAGAGTGTTTTTCTTTAAAATCCTTTGTCCTTTCCTCATATTGTTCCAAATTTTTCCCTGGAATTCCCAAGTATTCACTAGTACTTCCAGTTAAAAATATTCATGTAACTTGTATTATATATTGTTGATTGTTGAAAAGCTCTTACACTTTTTAAAGTTTGTCAAAACCAAAAAAACTTCAATGAGAACATTAACATTGAATGGATGAAAATCTGATAAACACATGCCATGTAGGTAGTAAGCAGGAATGTGAAGAACTTCATAGGATTAACCAATGCATCAATTGTTTTCTGTGGGAAAGCATGTCGGTAGTCCTCTCAAATGAGCCCTTCCCCTTTATTTGGAGTTATCATTCAGGATCTGCCACCTACCCAGAGTGGTAATGTTTTGACTATACTAAATATCTCAGCTTCAAACTGTGGTATTTGAGGCATGGAAGGGAAAACATTTGGCCTCTGACCCAATTACTTGTTAACAACACAACAGCCTACATCGCTG